AAAAGAGTCGTAAAGAATCGACTGATTCACAGAATTTGGGATCTGATGAGAACAGTAGAGATAATGTAGATTTAAGTCCAAAATCTAACAATTCTGATGCAAGTAAGACATGTATTAGAAATATATTTAATAAAATGCTAAAATATATTGTTTTTCAGACAATTCATTAATAGACTTCAATGAGGACCTGGATAAGAGTTTCTATAACTCTGTGAAATCGTTTGATAGTATTGAGAGTCCAAAAAATGTTTGCAAATTAATTCAAGAATATAACTCAAGATCTAAACTTTATTCCAATGAAGAATCTAATGTCACGACTATTAAAGTCAGTAAAAAGTCAAACGACAACAAACAAATAGATCCGGATAAGTCTGAAAAACAAAAACCCTCAAAAAGTGTGTCAATCATTAGCACAGAATCTGAAACCATGAGTAAATTATTTAAGTTATTATTATATGAATTGTTAATTGTTTGTATTACAGATAAAACTTCAATCAATGAAATCGTTGACACACTGAGTGGTAATGAGAGCTCAATAGATGACAAGATTCAGAAACTGTACGAAGAATGTAGAGATGATGACCGAAAAAATGAGACAATTGATGGCAAAGAAGGCAATAATGAGCGCAAAAATCAGTGTAAATCTCCGGTTACTGTGCGCCAAATGGCCGTACAGTATATGAAGAGAACCACTATTAATGCCAAAAAATCATGAATTAATTTGTTATTTAATTAAATTAAAAAATTTCTGATATTTGTTTAATTAGAAATAACTATAGTTAATTATGAAATTATAAAAAACTCATTCATTATCACACTTATTATTATTATTACTATTTTGTATGAATTGATATAATAAATTAATTGAAAACTATTTCATAGATTATTTAGTAACTTAGTACAGTATTTATTTAATTTTACTTAACTTAAATTTTATTTTTCAATAACATTAATCCTTTTTATGCACTACTTTCTACAGTTTTACATTGGAATATAATTATTTAATTTTATAGATTTATTATACGGTATATACTATATCTCACTTTGCATTGCTTTTTAATTTATCAAAATAATTAAGTAGTAATTTGAAATTATTTATAACATTAGATATAATGAATTATATTAATTTTTAAATTAATCTTGTTTTAGAGACTAATTACATCTTCCCATTCGCTCACTAATTGTTTAACAGATTTCTGACCACATTTAATATCATTGTCAGTGTTTTGTGTTTTAGTATACAATTTATTGGCTCCCATTTCAAGCATTGTCACCGATTTTGGCACTAAATTTGATATTTCCTTATGAATGGCACCGAAACTCTCATTCCAGTGAAACATTTTAAACAAAGTCTTTGGTTTGCCATCAATTGAATCACTAGTCATTAATTGTTTGTCTATTTAAGAGATAAAAATGAATACAACTTATGATAAATTTTATAATACCTGTGATTAAGGGCTCGTATTCAGAGCATTGATTTAGTTGGCAATCATCGGCCATAACCTGACAATCAGTTTCATTGATATAACCCGAGTCCTCGTTGTCCACAATCGTTACAAACTCTGGTTCAATGAATTTGTTTTCAATGTTTTCCTGCAGTTTATTGTGATATTCAAGTAATTCCTGTCGACTCCTTTCGGGGTATTCCAGCAAATCAATCAAATCTATTGATTTGACATCAAATGTCTCATCAGGATCAGTCACGTTAGTTAGCGAACTATCTGCGGATTTATCAAATTTTACATCAATTATTATGATCCGGATAAAAATGTGTCATAATATATGCTACCAGTGCTTAAAACTGAAAGTCCCGGCGACCCAACGTTCATGTCATTGACTGTAATACTCTTTGCTTCTAATTCTTGTAGAAATTCTTCATAATTCTTATCCTTTTCATAAATATCTGGATACAAAATTAATTATTAAAATTAATAGATTTTTTTAAATGCTTTTATCTCACCATAACTGATAGCATTTTGTTTTCTCTGTGTATTAATGGTCACAAAATTCACTGTACGATCACTTTCATTGTCAACTGTTTGTCTGATTTTCTCAATGATAACGCGATTCTTATCGTTCATCCGTTGAATGACTTTCACATGAATTTTAATATTTTCTTCCAGACCTTTATTCATATCAATCACTTTATTAGTAGTCATTTGTAGGCTTTCCGATAGCGGAGTAGACTTTGATGTTACACTAAATGGATTAAAAGGACTCATCTTTAACGTAGTTTTCATTGGATTAGTAGCCGTTTGAGCATTGATTTCCTGATCCCTGGCCTCTAGTTTCTTAGCTTTAATTGCTTTTCATTGATGAACAAAAAAATAATTATTTTATAAAATGAAAAATAAATATATATAAATTTATATATACCCGGATAATCCACACTCTCGTACAGATGCTCTCTGGGTGTCTGTCCAGAGTTTGACAATTGATTCAATAAACGCTCATCACTTTCATCGCTTAAATCAATAGGAGTTTCAGTCAATTGGCATTCACTGACATAAAAGTCATGAAAATTATGATAAACTGTGGCCACAATCAGGTTTGAACAGTATATCACATGAACCACTCCATCCGAGAGCGCCGTTATAATTGACATACCATTCCTTTTGTATGACACCACTTGTCGCATATCTTGAATACCGGACTTTAGTTCTCTGACCGATAGTTTTGGTGTCTTTCCCGAACAACTATTCATATCATTCATACAATACTGACCGCAAAAGTACAGCAAACCATCCGTTGTTAACAAATGACTGACTGTATTGGACGGGCAGATAGTCTTGACATTGTGGACACCCATCACATATTTGGGCGCATAAACGCTCTGTCCGTCGTTGTCGTGCCCTAACTGGCGGTACTGATTGTGACCCCAACTGAATACCAGTCCCTCCGACGTCACCGCAAACGACGTGTATTTCCCGCAATAGACAGCGCTTATGACATGTTTGCCGGGGAAGCACAGGCGCGTGGGGGCCGGTACGTTGCGAACCTTGCTGGACCCGCAGCCTATCTGTCCCCAGGCGTTGCCGCCCCACCCGTATACCTCGCCATCGGTGGTGAGCGCCAGGGCGTGAAAGTAACCGCAACTCACTTGTATGACATCCCGGTAGTCGAAACGGTTCAGGCGTTTGGGCCTAAAATAGTAGGCAAACTGCGAGGCTTCCCGTCCCAACTGTCCACTGCTATTGTGGCCCCAACTATACACCTGTCGCTCGGCATTAATGGCTAAAACAAAGTCAAAGCCATTAACGAAGTGTTGAATCTCTTGATATGATAGCTCTGGGATCAGTTGCGGTGACAAGACTAGCCGGTTGTGTCCCAATCCAAGTGCGCCCAGAGTGTTGGCGCCCATACCGTAGACACAGTCATCGGTGGTAATGAATAATATGTTGTCCCCCTCCGAGTCGTCGAAAGCGTATAATAAACTGATGGCTTGCTTCGTGTTTTCGGGTATTTTGTCACAAATGCTTAACTTTTTCACAATTGATGACATTTTAGTGATTCAAATTGATTGATATTTAACACATTTATTATATTAACATTTATTACAATATAATAGGACAGGTATGTGTCTGTGTATTGAAGGTTCGCCAGTTAATGACTGATGTCTCACAAGTGAATTGGAAAAATCCTACCTGTGCTCACAGTTCTTGATGTCAATACTAGTTTAAATGCTACTATTAATATTAAAGAATGTTAAGTAAATGACATGAAAAATTTCCATGCATATTAAATATTATAATTTTAAAATAAAGTTTATAAGAAATCATTTCACATTGTATGCTCATCTATACTATTTTCTCATTGAATAAAACATTTAAATATTAACCGTAAGTAAAACAAAATTTTTATTAAAGTTTTTAGTTTTGAATGTACAGATTTGCACACATTTAGTTTTCAGTCTCTCGCATGTAAAGTGTACTACAGCTTAGTATTGTAATTGAAATTAAGTTTCTATATTACACCTATTATTAACTATCGATATTTAATGTAAATTACAAATATAGTTATTTCAAAGCAATAAATTTTAGTTATTAATATAAACAGGTCAAAATTTTCTAAACATACAGACATAGTGTAGTATATTATCATTATTAATTATAACTTATAATTAGGAATGCAATAATAGTGGACAAAAAGTGGGTATTATAAATGGTGGCTATTTGTATGACTGTGATTAATACAAAACTTATTCACTATTGTAATCAGTTTTTGATTTTCAATATTTGATTCCTTTATAATAATTTTCAATGAATATTCAATTGATAAAACACTCAAACTTTTATTAATCGATGAAAACATATATTATGAATAATAAAATTTGCTGAGTAATCAACAAATTAAAAAAAAATTTAATAAATAGTCATACAATTTAATCAAACGAGTATTTATATAAACAAATATTCATATAAAATTATTATAAAGAATTAATATTTTTGAAAATCAAAAACTGATTTAATTAATGAATGAGTTTTGTATTAATCACATGGATACGCTTAGCCCATTTTTAAAAACCCACTTTTTATTCATATTTATTCCATTCCTACTTATAAGGGATGATTCACATACTACGTTCGCACTTTTTGGGAAATCTTAACCCCCTCCCCCCTTATGTTCGCAATTGTTCGCATGTCGCCA